TGCCTGCTGCGGACAGTGACAGGTCGTGCGGGCTGAGATGCCTGCTGGGTGGGTCCAGTAACCGGGCTCCCCCACTGCTGCCCAGGACGCCCCACAGCTCACAGCCAACATCACCGCGTCACTGCTGAGCGTCTGCGAGTGGAGCAGGACGGTCAACCCCCCGGATGACGCGGACCCCGCGCACGCCGACCTGGTCCTCTACGTCACCAGGTAGCCCAGCTCCCCGTGCAGGCCGCTCCCGCACAGGGGCCGGAGGCGGGGGGCGGGCATCTCAGCGGGTTTGCAGAGACGCTGGGCCCCACGTGTGTCTATTCTGTTCCCGAGGTTTGACCTGGAGCTGCCTGATGGCAACCGGCAGGTTCGGGGGGTCACCCAGCTGGGGGGCGCCTGCTCCTCCTCGTGGAGCTGCCTCATCACTGAAGATACCGGCTTCGACCTGGGGGTCACCATTGCCCACGAGGTCGGGCACAGGTATGTGGCCCCACAGCGGCCCCCACGCTCAGGCCAGGGAGCTGACCTGAGCCCCAGGAGGGGAGGTGGAGGCTGGCAGGGGGCCCTGGACCCCCGTGGACCAGGGAGGGTGGGGGGCAGGGGCTGGGGAATTGGATACTTCATGATTACTGAGTAACTAAAGGAAATTTTAAAAAAACACAAGCAAAATAAACTTAGCAATTAGAAACGGAGGTTTATTGGAAATTCAGGTAAAGAAAAACTAAGCTGTAAAAATTACCCCAACCCCACCACCTAGAGATAGCATTTTTTCGTAGTTAATATTTAACTTTAGTCTTTAATTTATACACACACAGTTTTTTATTTGCAGAATTAGGATTATACTGTATATTGATTTGGTACCTGCTTCTCATTTTTAATCCTCACCTGAAGGTATGTTTTTATTGATTTTTAGAGAGGAAGGGAGAGAGAGAGAGATGGAGAGAGAAACATTGATGTGAGAGAGAAACATCGATCGGTTGCCTCCTGTACACGCCTCACCCGGGGATTGAACCTGCAACCTAAGTGTGTGCCCCGACCGGGAATCGAACCCAAAACCGCTCGGTGTGCGGGACACGCTCCACCGGGAGCCAGCGCACAGCTGTTACCTGCTTTTTCATGCAACAATGTACTTCGCCCAACATGCCTCCCAGGTCTTTTAAACTGTCTTGTGCGCCATCGTTTAGGTCATCGGTCCCCTGTTGGGGTTTTCAGGTTGTTTCCAGGTTTACCCGCTTGTGAACATGACCCGTCTTGTGGGCCAATCTCTGCTCCTCCCTCCATCACCGGCCTGGGTGGGGTGGGGGCTCTTCCCTTGCTGACTTTCAGTCTCTTTTTTTTAAGGGGAGAATGATGATTTTTATTTTTTAAAAATATATTTTATTGATTTTTTACAGAGAGGAAGGGAGAGGGATAGAGAGTTAGAAACATCGATGAGAGAGAAACATTGATCAGCTGCCTCCTGCACACCCCCTACTGGGGATGTGCCCGCAACCAAGATACATGCCCTTGACCGGAATCAAACCTGGGACCCTTGAGTCCGCAGGCCGACGCTCTATCCACTGAGCCAAACCGGTTAGGGCTGACTTTCAGTCCTTTAAAATGAAAGGAAATAGTGCTGAGACTCCTCCTGTAAAAGATGAGTCTATTCTCTATCTTCCTTGCCCGCCTGCCCCCCTTCAGCCCCTCTGAGGGCTTCTGCGGAACCATGAGTGTGTGCGAGCATGCGTGCATGAGTGTGAGCGTGTGCGTGCGTGAGCATGAGTGTGTGAGCGTGTGTGCATGAGCATGCGTGTGTGAGTGTGGATGTGCTCACACATGCGCAGGCCACCTGCAGCCTGGCAGCCCTTATTCCTGGGGCAGGAGACAGGGTGCCAGGGCGAGGGCCCTGGAGCTGTCCTTGGTGCCTGTGGGTGTGGGTGTGGGTGTGGTGCCCGTTTGGAGGGAAGGGGTGTGGAACGCTGCCTCCCGCTGGGAGAGGAAGGCTGGTCAGAGGTCCGCACACCCTCTGGGACGTTCTATTGAATCCCACTGCACAGCCTGCATGTGACAGCCAGTCCCCTGGTCAAGAACGTGATGGGGGCGCCCAGGGCCCTGGGTCCCCGTCCTCCCCAGGCTTCTAACACCCGGGTTGGTTCCCTACCGCCTCCTGATATTGATCAGCCAGCAAGGGCAGGCTTGGCGGGAAACGGAGGCAGGGCGGCCACGTGACTCGCTTACCTGTGGAGTTAGCTGGTGGCAGGGTCAGGGGTCCCCACTGGGCAGGAGGGGACC